TTGGTTTGTTTCTCACACACATAGAATCTGAGACAAAAAAGAAAAAAAAAGGTTTGTTCTCTCTTTTAGACATGAGAACCGAGAAGAGGGTTGACAAAGTTTGGTGTAATCATTTAAGATCAATTTTAGAGGGTTATTCTCTTAATCATTTAAGAGAAATTTAATCTGATTAGAGAATAATTTATACATTTTTTTATAAAAATATTGTGTACTTAATTTTATTATATGATAGTAAATTTAACTTAAAATTTAGTTTGTGTTTTTTTTTTTTTTATATTAAAAAATTTTCCACGTAAATTTTATTTGTGTATTTATTTTTGTGGTTGTTTCTTTGTTTGCATTAGTTTTAATTTATGAGATCGATTGGCTTAAAATTATCAATCGGGACTTTTCGGAATTAATTTTATGATTGTCTTGATTTGCACGAAAAGAGTAGAATATTTTGGAAGATCCAACAAGTTTGTGATGCATGTATTAACTTGACAAGCTAAAGGTTGGCTGAAAATCTTGAAAATACTTGCCAGGCAGTCCGCATTTTCTTCCTTGTAATTCTCAATTTCAATAGTTTATAACTTCATCAATTCTAACACAAATACCTATGAAGATAAAATTAATGTTGTTTCAATAGATCAGATGAGATCATTTGGCTTACTCTAGTTAATTTATCTCTCTCTTTTTAAATTTTGTTCTTATTTTTTCTAACCAACTTTTAAGATTGTTGATTGAATATATATACATATATATATATATATATGCATATTTTCTCTGATTGAATCTAAATGCACAATATCATTTAGATCAGTACATATGTAAGGGCGTACGCTAATACTCAATTTTACCCTGTTAAGCAAAATAAACAAATTAATATAATTAGAACTTGGAACTATATAAAGTCCATTTTACATAGTGAGAGATAATCATAGATATCCATAAATTTGTGAAAGGCATCCCCTTTCGTTACAGAAAATAAGGAAAATGTATAACAGAGAATTGCTGGAATATTCTCTACTCAATATGTCCTACTAAATAAAGATCTCTATATTCTAAACTTGATCATAACGTGTGTGTATATATACACACACACACATACACGTATGGAATAAACTTCATCTTGGGCAAAAAGTACAGCCAAAGGGTTTCCAAATACTGCTAAGAAAAGTCAATGAATTACACTGTTAAATTCTTGTTCTTCCACTATAAAGAGCTTATCGTTATCTCTTATTACTTCAGTGGAATCAATTTCTGCTCCTTCTTCATTTGTCACCGTCGTATTTTTTGCATCAAATCCAAACTTTTCTCCTGTTCATACATTCATTTATATGTACAAATCAAATAAATCCTTATGTTTTTAAGATATAATTTAGAGTTAGAAATTTTCCTGCTTTGTCTGTTTTTAAGATATAATTGACTAAATGAATAAATACCTGCAATTTCCTTGAGTTCCTCAATTGAATTAGGCAACTTAATTAGCTTTCCTGCAGATTGTTTGCAAGAATTGCTTTTCCTGATCAATGGATGGCCTCTATAAATGCTGATTCTTGCACAATCTAATCCATTGCTTCTTTTCTCATCATCATCATTATCATCCTTTTCGGAAACCATTTCAGCCTCCCTCTTTTCGCTGAGTGTTACAGAGTGAAAATCAAAGCCAACTACATCAGCACCATTCATCACAAGTAAGTTGATCATGTCAACGTTATTATCCGTCAATGCAATCTGATACGCTGTCAATCCACGTCGATCTTTGGCATCAACATTCAATCCTTGTTTCAACAGTTCTCTCATCACCGCCAAGTCATTTCTCTTTGCAGCCATGCATAGGAGATCACCGGCTGTGTAAGGATCAGAAATAGCTGTACAGTGATACAGGATCCTGAATATAGCATGGTGCTTCCATGATATTGCATCCCATAACGCAGTGTTGCCCTTCATATCTGCCATGATACATTGTCATACCGGACGAGCAGGATTACAAAGAGATAAATGCAATGTATATGGGAGGTTCCAAATGGTGTTGAATTACCTCGTAAATGCACATTACAGGCATGCTTAAGGAGCACCAAGACACATTCTTCATGCCCTTTTGATGCTGCTTCGTGCTGACCAAACAAAGCAAACTAAATTATGGGATATTCAACTCCTTTTATACACAAAGAATAGGTATACGATAAGTAAATTGATCAAATATAATATTAACTATTGAAATATAAGGTATAGATACCAATGCAGTCCTTCCTTGAGAGTCTCCTATGTCAGGATCCCACTTAGCCTTTAGAAGATCATCAAGAATAGCAGCATTGCCTGTACCAGCAACCGTAAGCAAATTGAAGGCAGTATTTGGGTCAATGTCTTCTTCCGCATTTTTATCTACTCCTAAATCTTTCAACTTAAGATCCTTGAGCTTCTTATGATGCTGCAACATAAGTTATAATTAATATATCAATTGAATTTAAGAGGATACAAATTAAAATTATAGTTAGTTAATGAACCTGAAGGAAGTTGTTGATCATAGCAATATTGTCATCTTGTTTGGTCTGAATTGCCTCCAAGAGAGCACTTGTTTTGAGTCGTAAGAGTTGTGAAAGCATCTTGGTCCGGAATGTGTGGGACTGAGGTCTGCAACAAAGTGCTCCTACTTCTCCAAACATGTCTCCAGTATGCAAGCTACCCACAACTCTATCTTTCTCCATCTCACTATCGATTATTTCTACCTCCCCAGACACGATTATATAGACATCGTCTGGCGGTTCATTTTGCATAATTACATCCTCTCTCGGGGGTATGTACTCTGCCTTCATCTTTGCCACCTATTAGGTGGAGTATGCACAGATGGTATTTTATACTTGATGACTCAAATTCAAAAGTTAATAATGCATTTAGAGATGATATAATGAGTGATAATTACCAGGAGCAAGAGTATTTCCCTTGAGACACAGTTGAAGAGATAGACTTTCTCAACTGTAGGCAGAAAGAGATGCTGGCAAATGCTTTTGCATATTGATTTGGGAAGCTGTTCAATGAGTTGTTGCTGGTTCAAGCTCTCTGCTTTAAATCTTAGGCACATGTAAGCCAAGATCTGATCTTTTAGCCTTGTTGGCAACCGATTTCTATGCACAAAGTTGGAGGCCGACTCTACGCTATTTCTCTATACGCATAAGATTACATATGAACAATTGTAAGATACTCTAGAAATACTGATGATATAACATATTAAAATTTCAGAATGAATTAAATGGAATTAATTAGGAGTTACAAAT